CGGACAACCAGACGCAGGTGGGCATCAAGGTGTTCCAGGGTGAGCGTGAGATGGCGGCCGACAACCAGATGATGGGCCAGTTCGACCTGGTGGGCATCCCGCCGGCGCCGCGCGGCGTGCCGCAGATCGAGGTGACGTTTGACATTGACGCCAACGGCATCTGTCACGTGACGGCGAAGGACAAGGCGACCGGGAAGACGCAGAACATCACCATCACGGCGAGTGGCGGCCTGAGCAAGGAACAGATTGAGCGGATGATCCGTGACTCCGAGTCGCACGCGGAGTCGGACCGCCTGAAGCGCGAGTTGGTGGAGGTGCGCAACAATGCCGAGACGCAGGCGAACACGGCGGAGCGCCAGCTGACGGAGTGGAAGTACGTGAGCGATGCCGAGAAGGAGAATGTGCGCACGCTGCTCGCGGAGCTCCGCAAGTCCATGGAGAACCCCAACGTGACGAAGGACGAGCTTTCGGCGGCAACGGACAAGTTGCAGAAGGCGGTTATGGAATGCGGCCGCACGGAATACCAGCAGGCCGCCGCGGCGAACAGCAGCAGCTCCAGCGGCAACACTGACAGCAGTCAGGGCGAACAACAGCAGCAGGGTGATCAGCAGAAGCAGTAAGAATAGGAGTGCCTATTGTTTTTGCGATGGTAATTTGCTCGCTTGTTACTTTTTCGTTTGTTATTAATATTTTTGTTTCTACGTCTGTGTGCGGATTTGCGCACTATTATAGAAGATTTTTGTTGTAGTATTACTCACCGAATTGATGGCAACGCATTTTTCAGTTTTTGTTGTTGTTGTTGTTGTTCTATTTGAGGTGTTTAATTGGGTTTGTTTGATAGTACTTTTCGCAGCTCTTTGTGCAGGGGATGAAGGGGAAAAGGAGGTGGTAAAATGCGGGGATGGAGGGAAAAAAAAAACCTCTTTTGAAGAAACAAATGAAAAGGATTTTCAGCTGCTTGCTGGAGCTTTCCTTTTTTTTTTTTTCCTTTCTTCTTTTGTTTTTACTTCTTTTGTTTTTTGTTTTTATTTTTTCTTGAGCGTTTGTGTTTTTCCTTTTTCACTGATTGTAAGGTGATGGCAGGGGAGGGCGACGAGGGAGCAGCCACGTGTAGGGTGTTTTGTGCGGCATATGTGTTAGCCGTTACTTCATATTTCGTATTTAATGCGCAATGAGCCGCCAGAGGCGGGGAGGGAAAAGGATTTTTAGGAGGCAAGAGAAGTACTATCTTTCATACATTTTATTTTGTTTATATATTTCTTTAAATACGTAAAAAAAAATATTTCATTATTTGTTTAAGAGATGAACATATAAATTTTTACTAAAATTCCGGAGACTGTTTTTGTTTTGGCTGTTGTCATTGGTGATGGTGTGGATGCGTGGGCTTTTTTTTTTTTTTTACGGTGCACTTTTATTATTATTATTGTTATTGTTGTTATTCATTCTGTAGCGTATAATAAAAATTATAGGATGGGGCCAAAGAAGGCACGGTATAAACCACCCATTCGGCCGAATGCGGATGGAACGGGCTTTGTACGGGAGTCGGCAGGTAAAATGGAGGAAACCCCGACAAGAGAGCGAGGACGCGAAGGGCATCCGGGATTAGGCGCGGTTCGCTTGTCGTTGGATCTCTCTACCCCACCGTGTATGGGGCCTAGTGATGTGTCAGGTGCGGCATTATCTTTGCAAATACGCTCCAATAATTCTTTGCCTTCCAACGAAGCACGGCTCTCTCCGTCTTCGTTTCGGGCCTTGGGTATTGTAAGTGGAGCAGTGCTGCATATTGTTGCAGGTAATTCTAAGGCGTATGCGGAGGCATTTATTTCTTCTTCGTGCCATGCACAAACCATAGAACTTGCTAACGAGGTAGCTGCGGCCCTTGCCGATAAACAGGCGAATGTGTCTGTGATGAAACAACCTCTCCCATCGGCGCCGCTTGATTTAGTAGTTCTGGAGATAGCCTTTGATCCACCTGAGGAAACAGCTGCGATGCAGCTGGAGGGATCGGTGAAGCTCCCGTTTTTGCAGGTGCGCTCCGCCTTCCGGCGTCAGTACCGGAACCGATTGGTTTACAGGGGAATGAGAGCGATCGTGCGTGTTGCGACACAACCATTTTGCGTTGAGGTGGTTCAATGTGTACAGTTCGGTGCGGATGTGAAGGATCAAAGGAAGAAGAAGCAAATTCAGGCCATGTTGGGTTTTCTTTTGGATTGTACGGTGATACGGGACGGGGGCTGTGAAATTCATATTGAAAATGAAAGCTCTGAAAACTCTCAAGATTTGTTGAAGGGCACATGCAATTTGCAACACGTGTTGGTGTTAGGCGAATCTGGCACTGGTAAGAGTCGCTTTCTTCAGCAAGAGGGTCGAGACGCGGCAACTCTGAAGTGTCGTCACGTGGAAACAATTTTAGTTCAGGAGCTTCCACAAGGAGAGATGAGTGATGTGTCTACAGCGACAGTGTTGCGTGAGGCGTTTGCGCGTTCAAAGGTCGCTGCGCCCTCAACTGTGTTAATTGACGACCTTCACCTTATCTGCGGAACCAAAGGCAGCTCTACAGCAGGGTCTTTGTGGGCGGCAACGGTTGTGGCGGCGACCTTGAAAGAGGAGCTCGATGACATTTGGGGGCGTCGTCTTGACGTTTGTGTTATCGCTTCCGCCACATCAACAGAGTCGTTGGATCGCTCTTTATTAACACCTGAGCGCTTTGGTAAACGTGTGACGCTGCTCACGCCTGGATCGGCGGAGGAACGATATGTGTGTCTAAAAACATGTTTAAAGGAGCGTGATGCACTTGATAGCGTTTCGGAGGAAACCCTCTTAACTGTCTCGCAGGAAGCCCATGGCTTCACGCAGTGTGACCTTGCCCGCCTGGTGGAGGTGGCTATGGTGGAGAATTTCAAGATGACGGGAAATGTAGCCGTATCGGATGAGGCTCTCCTGGCGGCAGCAAAGTTGGTACGGCCCTCTGCACTAAAGCAGTTTGAGGTATCCGTGCCGAATGTAACATGGAACGACATTGGTGGGAGTGAGGATGCGAAGAAGACCCTACAAGATTGTGTGGCGTGGTGCCTTGGAAAGCAGCAATGGATCTTTCGCAAGTTCAAACTTTCACCACCACAAGGTGTTCTTCTGTATGGGCCCACGGGGGTGCAGCAAAACGATGCTGGCCAAAGCCCTTGCCAACGAATCCAAAATGAATTTTATTTCCGTCAAAGGGCCGGAGGTGTTCTCAAAGTGGGTTGGAGACAGTGAGAAGGCAGTGCGAGATATTTTTACGCGTGCACGTGCGGTGGCTCCATGTGTCATCTTTATTGATGAGCTTGACGGCATGTGCGCGCACCGAGGGAGTGGCGGAGTCTCGGACCGCGTTATCTCGCAGTTTCTTACCGAATTGGACGGACTTCCCGCCGCGCTGAACGAAAAATCCGATGCGCTTGTTTTTGTGGCGGCGACAAATCGCCCCGACAACATCGACACGGCTGTCTTGCGGCCTGGGCGTATTGATCGAAAAGTCTACGTTGGGTTGCCAGACGTCTCAGAACGCCGGGCGATTGTCAGCATTCATTTCGCTCGCATTCCTGTTGCAACGGATCTTGATGCCGACTACGTGGCCAACAGAACGGAGGGTTATAGCGGTGCTGAAGTTGTTGCAGTAGTGAAGGAAGCGGCATTTCTTCGAGTGACGATGGATGCAAAAGCCGCACACATCACCCGGGAGGATGTTGACGCCGCCCTGCAGAAGGTGAGACCACGCATTAGTCCAAGTGATGTGGCTTGGTATAAGCGGTGGTCGATGGGCAGGTCTTTGGCTCTCCGATAAAGTTGCGAGGGGTGAGTCTGTGAGAGAGGAAACAATGACGGTTAATTGAGAGAATGAAGAGAAGAAGAAAAAAAAATTTTTTTTACGTGGGGTATGGGTGTGGCACCTCCCCTCGTTTTTTTTTATTTATTTATTAGTAAACAATAAAGGGGTTAAAATGATGTGAGGCGAAATTTCTTCGCAAGAACCAAAGTCGTACTATTGCGGTTCCTGTTGGGAATTGAAGGAACGTACATGCGTTTTTGTGTGTAGGTGTTTGTTTGTGATGGGACTTGTGATATTTTCAGTGCTTTATTATTTGTGTGTGCTTTTCTTAAGCTTTTTTTCTCTCTCTCTCTCTCTCTCTCTGTGTGTGTGTGCAGTGATCGGGGGGCTCTGACTGCGCTTTTGTTTGCTTGTTTTGTTTTTAGTGCGGTTGTTTGATTGAATGTCGTACGTGGAAGAAGAATACTACGAAAGTGAGGAATACGCGGTAGACTACGAAGGCAATGGCGGTGAATGGGCGCTGGTGTCACCCGCGGAGGCTTTGCGGCGGCCTGTGGGTGCCCGTGCAGAGGCATGGCTTTTTACTACGTTGTCAATAAGTGAAGTTTTAGGGGATCTGCAAAGAGACGTTGAGAAGGTAAATGAAATTCTCGGCCTTACGCCAGAGGCTGCTTTACTTGTTTTGCGCCATTACGGTTGGAAGATGAATGACGCCACGCTTGAGAAGTATTTTAACGAAATGGATAAAGTCAACAGTGAACTAAGAATTACGGAGGCAGCTTTTCATAGTGGTGGTGCTGGCGCGGAGTTGATAAGGGGCGACCAACCTATTGAGTGCCCCATATGCGGTGATGATGTGCCCGCAGGGGAGAGCGTGGCCCTTGGAAATTGCCGTCATTTTTTATGCGTCAATTGCCTGCGAACAAATCTTCTTTGTGCGGTCAAGCATGGCCATGACTTACTCGACAAAAGGTGCCCGATACGTGGGTGCCACAGTCTGGTGGGGTTGAATCTGTTTAAAGAGCTTCTGCCGGCAAGAGAATACGGTCAGGTCCAGCGGCGTTTCCTCAATGATTATTTTATTAGCAACAGACACATGTGCTGTTGCCCCAACGAGGCAACTTGCGAGGGGGTGATATGCGTCAAGGCCATACGAGAGTCGAGTCTAGAAGTCCAATGCCATGTGTGTAAGCTGAAGTTTTGTTTTAATTGTCTTTGTGCTCCCCACGCCCCGGCGACATGTGATATGATGCAGCGCTGGGAAAGGATGGTGCAAGAGAATGAGCCCTCACTTGCACTTATCCAACATATGACGAAGGGATGCCCCAATTGTGCAGTACGTGTGGAGAAAAACATGGGTTGCAATCATATGACATGTGTTCGCTGCCATCATGAGTACTGCTGGGTCTGCCTGGGTCCCTGGTCGGAGCACAACGCCGGCTACTACAACTGCAACAAGCGGAGTCGT